AGCTGTCTTTCATGCCTAAGGTGGGACTAGAACTCACCATCTCCTAGTGATCAACTCTAAGCCACCCAGCCAGATTTCACGTCTAAGGCTGAACTAGAACTCATTGTCTCCTGGTTTCTAGATCAGCACCTTAACCACTGCTCCAAGCTGTTTCTCCTCCACCAATCAAGTTCTCACCAATGGGAAATGGGCCATATCCATCCATGCTATGGCGCTTCAACATCTTAAAGCATCTGCATGAAGCAATATCAATTTCACAGCCCTTTCAACTTCAGTTGAGCAGGAAATTGGTTTCCAGTACCTTTGCCATCACAGGTTTCTCTCGTGGTATCTAAGCGTGAAGAAATTTTGCAAATACCTGCATAGAGCTGGCCTTTTTATAATCCCCCTCAGCCAGCTAGGACATTAGGGCAGTTGAGGTCCCACCCATCTAGAATTAGGGGGCAGTTGCTTTACAGATGAGATTGTCGCTATAACTTTACGCTGCGACTACAGACTCATGATGGATCTATTTACAAAACAAAGGAAAATTATCTTGGTTCTAAAAGTCACGTTGACTGCTTAATGGCCATACCTCTACTTTGTGCTATTTTGGTTTTAAAATCTAATCAATAGCGAGGTTGCATAAAAGCGAGGTGCACACTTTTTTTTTGGCAATGTTTCCTTCCCACTTTTAATCAATAGTCTTCTTATGAGACATTTAAGCCAACTGACCAACTCTTTCTCTCCAAATGCTATATTATGTTGGCATTCCTTGGAGTGGTTACTTCTCTTTCTCCTTCTATTTATAGGAGCTGGTTTTTGACAGTAACTATCCACTTGCCTGAGTTCTCCTTCGCCAATCGTGGTGGCTTGATCAAGCTATCATGACCAAGTAATCTAAGCACAATGGTTGTTTGTATAGTTTGCTAAGTAAAGAAAAAAAAGAAGAAGGGCTCCAGTTGTGTGGAATTCACCTCTTTCCAAAGTTACAGAAAGAGCTAATGGCAGAGACAGCTCAGCTTCCTTACCTTGACTTCATCTTCATCTTCATCTTCGGTGGGGGGGGGGGGAGAGAAGGAGGAAACCCCCATCTCAGCTCTGGTCACTGAAGTTTTCATATTTATGTTTCTTGCTCTACTGAATCAGTCAGTTGTCTAGTGGAGGGACAGAAGGTTTCCTGTAGCTCTGTAGGAATGAAAAGTGGCACCCCAGCTGCTGTGTGTAGAAAACAACTTTTTTCCCCCTTATAGTCTGTAGAGATTCTCAGTCACATCCACCTTTGGTCGTCCCAAGAGGCAACTGGACTTTCTTGTTTTTATCTTTGAAGACGTTTCGCTTCTTCTCCAAGAAGCTTCTTCAGCTCGGACTGGATGGTGGGGAATGGAAGGATTTATACTCCTTGCAGACAGCTGGTCATTTGCATCCTTTTAGCAGGTCACTGAAGCACTTGGAGGTTGATCTGTGTCCTCGGCATCACCTGAGTGATGCTAATGGCTCCTGTAGTCTGCAATTTTTTTCCCCTCTGGAAATCCATTCCTACTCTCACACCATTTAGAGGGTGTTCATCCCAAATTGTATAGTTAAAAGTCTTTTTCCCCCCCTTATGTTTCTTATACAACGTGTATCCTGAAAATACAGAGACAGGCAGTGTATGAAATACGTTTTGATAGGGAAGCTGCATCAATGCCTCCATCCGATAAGGTAGCATTACCTTGGGGCTGTGGATCCTGCCGGAAGACGACAATTCCCACTGCCCCAGGCTATTTCCCACCCTCTCTGGCCTTATGGGAAGGGCAGGATCCTGCAGAGTGCCGTGTCCTCGCTTTCCAGACCACGGAAGGTGTCCTGTCCCCTCCCACTGGATTTGCCTGCAGTGCCAAAACCAGTGCATTGGAAATGGGCTGGGATCCAAAGCGCTCTAAGCAAAAAAAATCTTCTGCTGAACTAGTTATAGGCAAAAGTCCAAGGAAGGATCCGATCCAGATCCAGACCAAGAAAGTAGGCTGCCATGGCTGGATCTGCAGCAAGAAGTCTAATCTTAAAGGAGACGGGGCAGGAAACACTCCGCTAAATTTGGCTGAGATTCCCAGAACCAATTTTGGATTAATATTATCGCTATTTTCCCCACCACCACCCCGACATCCAATGAGAGTAGAATAGAATAGAATAGAATAGAATAGAATAGAATAGAATAGAATA